TTCAGTCAGCCAGTCAGTTAGTCAATCATCCAGTCAGTCAGTCCGTCCGTCCGTCCGTCAGTCAGTCAGTCAGCCAGTCAGTCAGTCAGTCAATCAATCAATCAGTCATCTGTTTGTTCGTTCATTCTTTCGTTTGTTTTTTTCATTCATTCATTCATTCATTCACTCATTCATTCATTCATTCATTCATTCATTCGATCCTTCGTTCGTTCATTCATTCGTTGGATGATTTGTTCGTTCGTTCGTTCACAATGCGCAAAAGACTTCTACAATTTTAATAGCGTGTACCGTACCTTAACCAGCTGTCACGTTCTTGTTGCAGTACTTCCCGGGAAGCCGTGACCAACATTCAGTGACCACAATGCCAATAAACCCAGCCATCTTAGCGAGATATCTGAAAATCCAACCTCGTGGATGGCGCAGTCACATTTGTATGAAAGTTGAGTTTTATGGCTGCCCAGCAGGTAAGTAAAAAATTAAAAATTTTGAAAATTCTGGGAATTTCACTTTTAGGGCTCCGAAAGTTCCTTAAAGAGTTACCGTTTTTACTAACTTACCGTTAAGAATTGGATTTTGCGAACGATAAAAAATTAGTTTAAAATCCCGTTTATAAGGATATCGTTGGGATTACGGAAAAAAGTCCATTCTAGAGAGTCTCCGTTAAAGGGAAAATATAACCTAGCTACCTAATCAAGGTCCTTACTGAATATGAGGGAGTTTATCAGTTTTTTAAGTCCTCAAAAATGACAGTTTAAAGAAAACGATATTTTTGCGACTTATATGATCTACGATGAAGCAATATCCTTTTAAAGGAGACATGTCATGATATTTGAAGTCATTTTTCTGATGTACGAAATTACCTTCAAACCTAATAGAGCTGGAATAGAGCGGTTTTTCATTAAAGTGTCGAAAAGTAATTGGTTTTGCATTATTACGCTACACGATTGGCTTACAAAAACTCGCGCCACTTTTTCATCCAATCAGAAGTAAAACCAACACCAATCGTGACTCGCTCGCACACGTTTTCCCGCGCTTTACGTCAGCTACATCTATTTAATTCGAGTTTTGATTGGTTCTTATTATTTGTCCTTTGTGATTGGCTAGAGTGATTACTTTGGTTTTTGAGTGTCGTAAAACCAAATCTAAATTAATTACTTACCAATTAGACTACTCAGCCAATCTCAAACCGTAATAAAACCAAAACCAAAACCCATTTAAATGCTTCATTTCTTTCGACACTCAATTGAACTGCACTAAAACCGAAGGAGTAATAATAAACGGGAAATAAACAAGCCTACTTACCATTGAGGAAAACTACGAACGACAAACTGAAAATATACTTGCCAATTTTTTCAAGATTTACTGTCTGTGTCAAAGCTGTTTGAAGACACCACTTCCATTTCTGGATACTCAATTTGTTTCATACTAATAATATAGTCTCTATTTAGGCGCTTATTGTTTTACTGATTGCGTTTTCCTTTTATTTTAAGACAATTGTTTCATGCCACTCGGAATGCAAGATGGTCGCATTACCAAATCCCGCCTCCGTGCATCGTCCATGTACAACAAGTACTACGGACCTTACAACGCGCGATTGCAGGCGCGAAACTATGGTTCCACGCGCGGGGGCTGGATAGCACGAATAAGGAACACTCAACAGTGGATACAGGTGGACTTGGAGAAAGTTGCTACCCTCAAGGGTGTGGCTACACAGGGGCGATTTGACGCAAATCAATACGTGAAGTCTTACATTGTCACCTACAGCCGAAACGGAAGGCGGTTCGTTCCTTACAGAGAAGGACGTCGAACAAGGGTAATTAACTTTTGAGTTTAAATAAGGTTTTTTCCACACGTTTCAAAACGTATTAGAGCTGCTCTGTTTTAGCGGGTTTTACATGAACTAGCAAAAACGATGCTATAAAGACCCAAATGTTAACTTGACTTTTCGTCAAACGAAAACGAAGGCCTTCCTGAATGAGTAGTTCCTTTTGAAATCTAATTAAGTAGCAAAACTTTTGCCATTTTTTTAAATTGAAATTCTCTATTTTTCGTCAACCACTGCTAATTTAGTCTATCGATGAGGAAGTCAGAAGTCAAACATCGCGATGTATCCTCTTTTGTGTCTTCCAGCTTTTTAGTGCCAACAGTGACAGATACCACGTTGTTACACGTCGCTTTATAAAACCGTTCAAGGCCCGCTTTGTGAGACTTCATCCAAAATCCTGGTACAGTTACATATCGTTGAGAATGGAGCTGTATGGTTGCAGGCACGGTGAGTTTTAATAAAGTTATGCTCTCATCCGTTGACTTCAAGTATCACATCACACTTGAAAGACCGTGTATGACCACATTTTCAAACACCGAGAAGAGAGTTGAAAATACAACACGTAGCGAAGTATTTTTGACGAGTTCGAGGAAATGTGGTCAAACATTGTCTTGAATGTTTGATATATCTTCTCAATCGAAACTAAAACTAAATAAAAAATTAGGAAATAAAATGGTAAAAATCCTTGCTAATTAAGATTAGATATCCAAACACTGTCGCGATCATTATTCCTTTGTTTAAACTTGATGAATTATTAATGGCTTTGAGAGATGACGACACAACAGCTTCATTCTTAGGCAGAACATACCTACAAAATTTACATGACCAAATAAAGTTATGCAGTTTCTCTTAGGCTAACACTTTTCATCTGTTCTAGGCCCTTTGTGTAACCAGCCAATGGGAATGCAGAGTGGACGGATTGGGAATAAGAGAATCACTGCCTCATCTATTTGGGGTCGATACTATGCTGCCTTTCGCGCCAGGTTACATCATTCTAAACGTGGGCGTTACGTTGGATCCTGGTGTGCAAAAACAAACAACCGACACCAATGGCTTCAGGTAACAAAAAACTCTGACCATAAAGTGAATGAAACGTAAACCAGCTTTGTTGAGACCAGGTTGCACTTATTCATTCTTATAGTAAAGTTCTTATTGTTACTGGTATAAATTTACGAACGTCCTATCGTGAATGCCGTTCTCTTATGGAGTGTATGCACATGACGTCATGGCAGCCATATTAGGGAGCTCAAGCACGCGCGTTTTTGAGACGCGTACGGCAACCGGAAGAGAAGATTTCGCATGCTAGGACCGTATTGTCTCCCAGATTTTTTATACTACTCATCTCTAATGAAGAAAAGATACTTAGCAATGTGAATATGGTTGTGTGAGGACAAGTCAAAAGTGAAGGTAGCTCACTTCCGGCTACAGTCCGCGTCTCAAAAACGTGCGTGCTTGAGTTCCCTACTGGTGTTCCAAAACAATGAAACGGTGGCCATGTTGATGTACCAAACCAATCCTGTGGGAGTTCATTACTTTTCTTATGGAAACACTTTCTTTTGTTCCAATAAATTTGCATGGCTGCTGGACAGGCTTTATTGGCTACGCTACTCACTATCTATTCTACTGTAGATGGTGACTAGTCTAGCGGTGTGCAGTTTTAAACAAATGGCGGCCTTTTCTTTGCGTCTTCTCAGTGTCTGTGAAGAGGATTTAGATAGAGTTTTAAATGACTAGATTCATAATGAAACAATCGCTCACGATTTCTATGCGTGATTATTGACGAGCGCTGTGCCCTCATCAACTAGAAATAAGAATCTCGAGCTCATAATCTGATTGTTAAATTTGTCCGTCCATACTAAATTGCGCTTTTCTGATGTTTTGTTTTTCCGCACAGGTTGACTTTCTTAAGGCGGTTATTATCGTAAGAGTAGCGACACAGGGTAGGCAGGACTATAGGCAATGGGTCACACATTACTACCTGAGATACGCGCTGGACGGAATTCACTTCGTCGACTACAAGCAAAAACACGGGAGAAAGGTTCGTATAATACAAGTTGAAATCTTTTTGTACATATGGAACTGTGCAAAAGTAGTGCAATTTAACTAATTTTGTAAAATTTTGCCCTTCGTTCTTCTATAAGCCTACAAAAAACGGTTATTTTGCGTTCTTTCTCTTTCAGTTTATGTTAATCAAAACATGCGTGTACATAACGAACTTTCGAACGAATTTTCGAAGACTTGAAGCGTATTTTCAAGACCTGATCGAGCGAAAGCTCGTCGCAAAGTTTTACGAAGCCAGGCGAAATTTCACGAAATTTTGTATCAGTAGAAATACTGGGTTTCCGAAGTTTTGAAGAAACCTTTCCTAATTTTTTTCGAAACGAAATTTCGTTCATTTTCGTCGAAAACCTCGAAATTCTCGAATTTCATCGGATTTCGTTTGAATTACTTTTGCACAATACTGAAAAAGCCTTTTTGCGTTGAGGCTGAGAAAAAAAAAAATCACGCGTAACACCATTTTTAATTGGAAACCGGAAGAACGTAACGGGGCTGTTTTCGTTGGAAAGTGCACCTTTGGTCTCACCTTGGGTATTGTTGTTTGTCTGTTAACAGTATTTCCCAGGAAACCGAGATCAGAACACTGTGAAATCATACCCGCTGGTGCCAAATATCAAAACAAGGTACATTCGTATCATGCCTTGGCACTGGTATGGACACATCTCCATGCGAGCAGAGTTCTACGGATGCTTTGCAGGTTGGTGGGAAGTAAAGAAATAGAGATACTACGATTATCAGTTGAAACGGAGCTAGTTGCTCGTAACAACAACATGATTTGAACGTTAAAACCTGGTCACCAAACGTCTGTCGCGCCTTGTTCAGCTGATAATCGTAGTATATTGTACTCATTATAGGCCAGTTTATAGTTGTGTTCTCAGTGACTTGACCTATGAATGCAAACGAGGTTGGAGGTAATCCTGCTTTGATACAAACCTCTCTGCTTTTCTTATTCAAATGCAAACTAGTTAGCATTGGAACAACTTTGATTTACACAACAAAAGCAGTGAGGTTTTTATCAAAACAGGGTCACCTCCAGCCTCAGCTGCCATTCAAAGGCCAGGTCACTGAGCAAACATCTACTTTGTAGTAGGGCTAAGATTTCCAGTTACCATACCAGCGCACTGCAACTATTAGACATGTTTTGATTCACAGACCAAAGCAATCAACTATCCAATCAGCACGCAGAATTGGAGTCACATGGTGCGAGGTCCGATTTTAAGAAATTTTTTGTTGATCTAAATCGCTGCCACAAAACTCGAATTTGAATGAAACAGTCTTGCAATCTACTTTCCTTATATTTCCTGGCCGAAAATCAACGGATTTTTGTCACGCTTGAGATCCAGTAAGGGTTTCACCAAAAAAGAAAAAGATCCTGCGGAATAATAACCATGAAAAAAATCGTGCAAAGCAAGCAACATAAAAAAATATATGGAGTAACTCGAAACAGACTTCTTGCTTAGAAAAATTAACCATTGGTCCATTCCTTCTGCTTCCGTTTCCAGCAACGTTAATGATCCCTGTTTTAACAATAACGACTCTTGTAATTTGCGTAAATGATTCTAGAAACGCTAACAATTTTGACAATGTTAATATTTTAGTACCTGGCAAATTTTGCTGTGAAATCAATGGCTCTATCATTAACGACATTGTCACGTAAATGTCTCTTAATTATTTACACAAACCTGGGGCCCATTTCTCGAAAGCCCTGGAAACGTTTCGAACCCGGAAAGCCATTTTTAACTAGTCTGTATCTAAAAACAGAGGGGTGTATACGCCTGAAACTTCTTGTATGAAGAGAACCTCTCTTCATGTTAGGAATATGTGAATAAAACAGTTCTGTAATCGTAAGGTTTGAGATTTTGCTATGGCCTTCCGGGTGCGAAAACTTTTCGAGACCTTCGAGAAAGGGGCCCCTGATCACGACAAGCCTTAAAACCTTTATCTCTTTCCTTTTCAGATCATTGTATGATGCCTCTCGGTTTGGAAGATTACCGCATCCCTAGCAGCGCACTAAGTGCTTCTTCATCCTGGAACCACGTCCACGGCCCAGACCGCGCTCGAATCAACCAGCCCAACGGGCACGGCCGAGCAGGGGCCTGGGTAGCTAGAGGCAGAAACGCACATCAGTGGCTGCAAGTGGAACTGTGCCGGCCGGCCAAAATTACAGGCGTGGCTACACAGGGTCGACACGATGCCCACCAGTGGGTGACAACTTACACTGTTAAATATAGTCTAGATGGAAAACGGTTTAGAGCATATATGGAGTATGGAAGGAATAAGGTTTGTTGTGATACTGTTTTATTACCAGACTACGAGTAGTCCCTCAGATCTTTCACTTATTCCGTCGAATGCGACGAGATAAAAAAGGCGCGAGAAAAAATAGCCGCGCTAAATCTGGGGGCCAGAAGCGTTTTTTTCTCTCTCACGCCCGCTTCTCGTTGTCAGATTTCGTCGGCCAAAGCAAAAGAACGACAACTCGTAGTCTACTTTTCTACTTGTGTGGCAAATAATTTTCTCAGGACTTTTCTGTCTATTGGAAATTCCCGAAATTTTAATCCACCCCGCAGAAGCCCTTTTCTCTCGTTTATTTTTGTGGTTTTTCACCACTCGATCGACGATCCGTGAAGAAAACAGTAAAAAAGCTCTCATTGCACATAATTGCCCTTACGCGGGAAGCTAAGTTATAGAAAGATACCCGTAAATGCCGAGGCAAGAGGCGGCTAAATGTGGGAATTTAGCCATTTCCGCGTGACAGGCTAATTTCAATAGGCCATTTCCGAGTTACCTTGTGCCTCTGTTTCAAAACAAGTCTTCGTCCAAAATCTTTCATATGAAAATGAGTTTGATTTGCATGAAAATGAACCTGTAGGCAGAACGTATTTCCATATGAACGGTTTCGCGCAAAGACTCGTTTTTGATACCGAGGCAAAAAGCGACTCGGAAGTGGCCTATTCCTTTAAAAATGTTTTCTTTTCTTGATTTGCTTTTAGGTGTTTCAAGCGAACTTTGATCGCTATACAATCGTAGAGCATGAACTGGCGCCTCCAATCCGAGCCAAGTTCATTCGTTTTCATCCCAAGGCTTTCCGAAGCTATGTTGCTATGCGAGTGGAGATCTATGGCTGTTACTATGGGGGAGGTGAGTGAGGAACTTCTCATTCCCTTCGACTTACAGTTTTAAAGAGGTTTCTCCTCGTTTTCTCGATAGAAATAATCAAAAATTAATGTAGGTGGAAGAACCTGGAGGGGTAAAATGAAAACTGGGATTTGCCTATGTTTTTTTCACTGGGGAAATGTGAATTGGGTCCCTGGGACTAGGAATTGCAAGCCATAAAGGTGGGAATGGGGCTGGGACTTGGGCCAAAATAGGCTGGAAATGGGATCTGGGCAAACCTGAATTGGGCTGGAACATTGAATCTGTAACCCGCTTCAGGATTTCTAGGTAGTAATAACTTTAAAAACAAAGTTAAACCTAACAGAAACAGGCAAGAGCTAAGGTAATGTACTGATGACGTCCTGGAAAACCCTATTTGCACACGGTTTCTAGATCCCACTAAGTTTTTCTTTCAAAAATTCGTTGAAAGCACAGTTTTTTTATGCTATGTAGATGTTGTTGGACTAGCATGAGGTCCGTATTCAGGATTTATAGACCGAGTCGATGTCGGCTAGGTCCATAAACTCGCAAAACGGGAACAAGGCAAAATATTCGCCAGTGGAACTGGACAAGCAAGTACGTCCCATAAACCTGGTTGGATGTTACTGTTTAAAACTCTTTGTTGTTTTGTTTCACCAAACAGCACGTTTCTGTACGAACCCCGTTGGGATGCAAAATGGACGAATCAAAAACCGAGCCATTACTGCTTCGTCGTACCACAACCATTTCCACGCTCCATGGCTCGCCAGGCTTCACCGCCGAAAACATGGCCGCTTCGTCGGATCGTGGGCAGCCAAACACAATAACCACCATCAGTTTCTACAAGTCGACCTTGGGCGGACGATGAAGGTCACTGGGATTAATACCCAAGGAAGGTACGATGTTAGCCAATGGGTGACCGCCTATTATGTTCTCTACAGCTCGGATGGCATGTACTTTGCTAAAGTGAAACACTGGTGGAACGTTGTGAAGGTTTGTGACTAAATTGATTTATGAAATGATTTCCCTATTTGCAATTGAGAAACTGGGTGTTGGAGACGCGGTTGAGTATTGGTTAGCACGCTGGAATCCGGATTGGGTGGTTCGGGCTTGAGTCCTGGTCGGGAACATTGTGTCGTGTTCTCGGGCAAGACACCACTCTCACATTGCCTCTCTCCACCCAGGTGAATAAATGGGTAACGTTTTTCTTAGTACCTAGCTGGTTTTTCTCTTTACATCAATACAGTCTACTGTCGCCTAGAGCTTCATCTCTCGATATTGGGCTCCCATCTCTTTCACGGGTTAAAAAGAGGATCATGTCAAACAACAGCCATATAAGTCGAATATTGCCGCCATCTTGAAGCGAAGTGCCACATTTCTGGTCTAAAACATTTTTATTTAGCAGCTTGGTATTTTTGTGTGGATATCAAGATATAAAACTGTAGCGTAAAACTTCATCTCTCGATGATAGAATCCCATCTCTTCAACTGGTGAAAAAGGGAACTGTGTCAAACATCCGCCATGTTAGTCTAATGTGTCCACCATGTTGAAATGAAGTCCAAAATCTCAGGTCTAATAACGTTTCCGTTAGTACCTTGCTAGTTTTTCTCTTTACTTCAAGACAGTCTATTGTCGCATAGAGCTTCATCTCTCGATATTAGATTCCTATCTCTTTCACGGGTTAAAAAGGGGATCATGTCAAACAACAGCCATGTAAGTCGATTAGTGCCGCCATCTTGAGACGAAGTTCAATTTTTCTGGTCTAAAACATTTATATTTAGTAGCTTGGTACTTTTTGTGTGGATATCAAGATATAAAACTGCAGCGTAAAACTTCATCTCTCGATGATAGAATCCCATCTCTTCAACGGGTGAAAAAGGGAAACGTGTCAAACATCTGCCATGTTAGTCTGATATGGCCGCCATGTTGAAATGAAGTCCAAAATCTCAGGTCTAATAACGTTTCCGTTAGTACCTTGCTAGTTTTTCTCTTTACTTCAAGACAATCTATTGTCGCATAGAGCTTCATCTCTCGATATTGGGCTCCCATCTCTTTCACGGGTTAAAAAGAGGATCATGTCAAACAACAGCCATATAAGTCGAATTTTGCCGCCATCTTGAAGCGAAGTGCCACATTTCTGGTCTAAAACATTTATATTTAGTAGCTTGGTACTTTTTGTGTGGATATCAAGATATAAAACTGTAGCGTAAAGCGTCATCTCGCGATGATAGAATCCTATCTCTTCAACGGGTGAAAAAGGGGATGACGTCAAACATGAGCCATGTTAGTCTAATATATATGACCGCCATCTTGAAATGAAGTCCAACATCTCAGGTCTAATAACGTTTCCGTTAGTACCTCGCTAGTTTTTCTCTTTACTTCAAGACAGTCTACTGTCGCCTAGAGCTTCATCTCTCGATATTGGGCTCCCATCTATTTCACGGGTTAAAAAGAGGATCATGTCAAACAACAGCCATATAAGTCGAATATTGCCGCCATATTAAAACGAACATCAACTTTTCTGGTCTAAAACATTTTTATTTAGAAGTTTGGTACTTTTTGTGTGGATATCAAGACATACAACTGTAGCGTAAAACTTCATCTCTCGATGAGAGAATCCCATCTCTTCAACGGGTGAAAAAGGGAATGATGTCAAACATGAGCCATGTTAGTCTAATATGGCCGCCATCTTGAAGCAAAGTTCAACATCTCAGATCTAATAACGTTTTCGTTAGTACCTTGCTAGAGTTTCTTTTTACGTCAAGACAGTCTACTGTCATCTGGAATTTCATCTCTCGATATTAGGCTCCCATCTCTTTCACGGGTTGAAAAGAGGATGATGTCAAACAACGGCCATGTTAGTCTAATATGGCCGCTGTTTTTGAACGAAGTGAAATATTCTGGTGTTATAAGTTTATATTTAGTAGCTGCTGCCTGGTAGTTTTTGTGTGAATATCAAGATATAAAACTGTCACGTAAAACTTCATCCCTCGATGTTAGAATCCCATCTCTTCAACAGGCGGAAAAGGGTATGATGTGAAACATCGGCCATATTAGTTTAATATGGCCGCTATCTTGAAACGAAGTCCAGCATCTCAGGTCTAATATAATTTTTCTTAGAACCTTGGTAGTGCTTGTCACTATATCAAGACAGTCTACTCTCCCCTGTTACTTCACATCATGAAATAAGAATCCCATCTCTTGAACGGGTTAAAAAGAAGAAGGCCAAACAACAACCGAGGTTTCACATCATCCTCTTTTTACGTTGATCTAATATGGTGGTTATCGTGGAAGAAAACCCAACATCTCAGCTCTAATGACGTTTTTCTTAGTATTTTGGTGGTTTTTGTCTTTGAATTAAGACAGTCTACTGTGGCCTGGAACTTGATCCCTCGAAACTAGAATCCCATCTCTTTCACGGGTTAAAAAGAGGATGAAGTCCAAACAACGGCCATGTTGGTCTAATATGACCGCCATCTTGAAACAAAGTGTAAATTTTCTGGTCTAATAACTTTTTAAGTAGTAGGTTGGTAGTTTTTGTGTGGATATCAAAATATTAAAATGTCACGTAAAACTTCATCTCTCGATGATAGAATCCCATCTCTTCAACGGGTGAAAAAAAGAATGATGTCAAACATCGGCCACGTTATGCAAATATAGCCGAGATGTTGAAACGAAGTACATCATTTCAGGTCTAATAACGTTTTTCTTAGTACCTAGCTGGTTTTTCTCTTTACATCAATACAGTCTACTGTCGCCTGGAACTTCATCTCTCGATATTAGACTCCCATCCCTTTCACGGGTTAAAAAGAGGATCATGCCAAACAACAGCCATGTAAGTCGAATATTGCCGCCATCTTGAAACGAAGGTCAACTTTTCTGGTCTAAAAGATTTTTATTTAGTAGCTCGGTACTTTTTGTGTGGATATCAAGATATAAAACTGTAACGGAAAACTTCATCTCTCGATGATAGAATCCCATCTCTTCATCGGGTGAAAAATGGAATGACGTCAAACATCCGCCATGTTAGTCTAATATGGCCGCCATCTTGAAACGAAGTCCAACATCTCAGGTCTAATAACGTTTTCGTTAGTACCTGGCTACTTTTTGTCTTTACGTCATGACAGTCTACTGTCGCCTGGAACTTCATCTCTCGATATTAGGCTCCTGTCTCTTTCACGGGTTAAAAAGAGGATGATGTCAAACAGCAGCCATGTTAGTCTAATATAGCCGCCCTCTAAAAACGAAGTGAACTATTCTGGTCTTATAACTTTTTATTTAGTAGCTTGGTAGCATTTTTGTGAATATCAAGATATAAAACTGTCACTTAAAACTTCATCTCTCGATGTTAGAATCCCATCTCTTCAACGGGTGGAAAAGACACTGATGTGAAACATCGGCCATGTTAGTTTAATATGGCCGCCATCTTGAAACGAAGTCCAGCATCTTAGGTCTAATGTCATTTTCCTGGGAACCTTGGTAGTCTTTGTCACTATATCAAGACAGTTTACTCTCACCTGGAACGTCATCTCTTGAAATTAGAATCCCATCTCTTGAACGGGTTAAAAAGAGGGTGAAGTCCAAACAACAGCCAATGTTTCACATCATCCTCTTTTTTATGTTGATCTAATATGGTCGTCATCATGAAAGGAAACCCAATATCTCAGCTCTAATAACGTTTTTCTTAGTATTTTGGTAATTTACATTACATTACATTAAGACAGTCCACTGTTGCCTGGAACTTCATCTCTCGATATTAGAATCCCATATATTTCACGGGTTGAAAAGAGGATAAAGTCCAAAGAACGGCCATGTTAGCGTAATATGGCCGCCATCTTGAAATTTTCTGGTCTAATATATTTTTATGTAGTTAGCTTGGTAGATTTTGTGTAGATGCAAGATAATGTTATGTACTGAGTTATTGGTACTTATTTGGCTCTCGGTCAGGATGTACGGATCTCGCCATATTTACTGTAGACAAATAGCTCGTTTCCATTGCGTTTTTCTGAGTCACAAGGGATGTTTAATTTGTGTCAAATNACGGGTTAAAAAGAGGATCATGTCAAACAACAGGCATATAAGTCGAATATTGCCGCCATATTAAAACGAACATCAACTTTTCTAGTCTAAAACATTTTTATTTAGAAGTTTGGTACTTTTTGTGTGGATATCAAGACATACAACTGTAGCGTAAAACTTCATCTCTCGATGAGAGAATCCCATCTCTTCAACGGGTGAAAAAGGGAATGATGTCAAACATGAGCCATGTTAGTCTAATATGGCCGCCATCTTGAAGCGAAGTCCAACATCTCAGATCTAATAACGTTTTCGTTAGTACCTTGCTAGAGTTCTTTTTACGTCAAGACAGTCTACTGTCATCTGGAATTTCATCTCTCGATATTAGACTCTCATCTCTTTCACGGGTTGAAAAGAGGATGATGTCAAACAACGGCCATGTTAGTCTAATATGGCCGCTGTTGTTGAACGAAGTGAAATATTCTGGTGTTATAAGTTTATATTTAGTAGCTGCTGCCTGGTAGTTTTTGTGTGAATATCAAGATATAAAACTGTCACGTAAAACTTCATCCCTCGATGTTAGAATCCCATCTCTTCAACAGGCGGAAAAGGGTATGATGTGAAACATCGGCCATTTTAGTTTAATATGGCCGCTATCTTGAAACGAAGTCCAGCATCTCAGGTCTAATATAATTTTTCTTAGAACCTTGGTAGTGCTTGTCACTATATCAAGACAGTCTACTCTCCCCTGTTACTTCACATCATGAAATAAGAATCCCATCTCTTGAACGGGTTAAAAAGAGGGAGAAGACCAAACAACAACCAAAGTTTCACATCATCCTCTTTTTACGTTGATCTAATATGGTGGTTATCGTGGAAGAAAACCCAACATCTCAGCTCTAATGACGTTTTTCTTAGTATTTTGGTGGTTTTTGTCTTTGAATTAAGACAGTCTACTGTCGCCTGGAACTTGATTCCTCGAAACTAGAATCCCATCTCTTTCACGGGTTAAAAAGAGGATGAAGTCCAAACAACGGCCATGTTGGTCTAATATGGCCGCCATCTTGAAACAAAGTGTAAATTTTCTGGTCTAATAACTTTTTAAGTAGTAGGTTGGTAGTTTTTGTGTGGATATCAAAATATTAAAATGTCACGTAAAACTTCATCTCTCGATGATAGAATCCCATCTCTTCAACGGGTGAAAAAAAGAATGATGTCAAACATCGGCCACGTTATGCAAATATAGCCGAGATGTTGAAACGAAGTACATCATTTCAGGTCTAATAACGTTTTTCTTAGTACCTAGCTGGTTTTTCTCTTTACATCAATACAGTCTACTGTCGCCTGGAACTTCATCTCTCGATATTAGACTCCCATCCCTTTCACGGGTTAAAAAGAGGATCATGCCAAACAACAGCCATGTAAGTCGAATATTGCCGCCATCTTGAAACGAAGGTCAACTTTTCTGGTCTAAAAGATTTTTATTTAGTAGCTCGGTACTTTTTGTGTGGATATCAAGATATAAAACTGTAACGGAAAACTTCATCTCTCGATGATAGAATCCCATCTCTTCATCGGGTGAAAAATGGAATGACGTCAAACATCCGCCATGTTAGTCTAATATGGCCGCCATCTTGAAACGAAGTCCAACATCTCAGGTCTAATAACGTTTTCGTTAGTACCTGGCTACTTTTTGTCTTTACGTCATGACAGTCTACTGTCGCCTGGAACTTCATCTCTCGATATTAGGCTCCTGTCTCTTTCACGGGTTAAAAAGAGGATGATGTCAAACAGCAGCCATGTTAGTCTAATATAGCCGCCCTCTAAAAACGAAGTGAACTATTCTGGTCTTATAACTTTTTATTTAGTAGCTTGGTAGCATTTTTGTGAATATCAAGATATAAAACTGTCACTTAAAACTTCATCTCTCGATGTTAGAATCCCATCTCTTCAACGGGTGGAAAAGACACTGATGTGAAACATCGGCCATGTTAGTTTAATATGGCCGCCATCTTGAAACGAAGTCCAGCATCTTAGGTCTAATGTCATTTTCCTGGGAACCTTGGTAGTCTTTGTCACTATATCAAGACAGTTTACTCTCACCTGGAACGTCATCTCTTGAAATTAGAATCCCATCTCTTGAACGGGTTAAAAAGAGGGTGAAGTCCAAACAACAGCCAATGTTTCACATCATCCTCTTTTTTATGTTGATCTAATATGGTCGTCATCATGAAAGGAAACCCAATATCTCAGCTCTAATAACGTTTTTCTTAGTATTTTGGTAATTTACATTACATTACATTAAGACAGTCCACTGTTGCCTGGAACTTCATCTCTCGATATTAGAATCCCATATATTTCACGGGTTGAAAAGAGGATAAAGTCCAAAGAACGGCCATGTTAGCGTAATATGGCCGCCATCTTGAAATTTTCTGGTCTAATATATTTTTATGTAGTTAGCTTGGTAGATTTTGTGTAGATGCAAGATAATGTTATGTACTGAGTTATTGGTACTTATTTGGCTCTCGGTCAGGATGTACGGATCTCGCCATATTTACTGTAGACAAATAGCTCGTTTCCATTGCGTTTTTCTGAGTCACAAGGGATGTTTAATTTGTGTCAAATATGTCAAAATTACGAAGCAAAAATTTGAAAGCCAGCTTACCGTCATCAACCCGTGCTCTGTTCTCTGATAAAGCACGCTGTTTTAGCCAATCAGAGCGCACGTTATATGGAAACTTTATTATAAAATGCAATAAACAATTTTTGGATGAGGTTTTTGTGATATCTGGAATAATCAAAGTTGAGGTAAGTGTTATCAGCCGAAGAAGGCTGAGGCTGATAACACTAACCGAGACCTTGATTATTTCGGATAGCAGATTAGTGAATTATCTGTAGGTTGCGCTGTTTCCCAGAATTAATTATAGGCTTTTAGCCAATGAGAAGACGGATGGCGGCTACAATACATAATAATACGATTAATTATCCTACCTACTATACTAATACTTACACTACTCTCAATGTAATTACGATTACTGATGCTACTTACAGATAATTTAAATATAGCTTTACCTTCAGCTTGACAGTACAGATTGCTAAATGATGTATTCGTAATTTTGCAGCAATTCCAAGGCAACTTTGACAGGTATTCAGTCCGCACGCACGCCTTCAGGCCAGCTCTGTATGCTCGATACGTTCGCATTCAACCAAGAGGCTGGAGGTCGCATATTTCCATGAGGGTCGAGTTGTATGGATGTCCTTGGAGTAAGTGAATGTCTCAACAGTTTTTTTAAAAAGAGTCAGAACTAACAGAGGGAAAGAAAAATGTCCAAAAATCTTTGTATTTCTTCGAAATTTCTGCTAGAAAAGGAATTGACTATCCCCAGGAAGTAATGCAAACTTTCAAACTGTTAGAGAAATTTGGGAGTTCTATTGCAAATGGGGAGATGGAGGTACTTGGACACCACTTTTTTCTACACAATAAATGTTGTTTTTTAATTCCATGGTTCACATAACTTTTAATTACGATTTTCTGAGAAAATTTTCTTTGAGAAAAGTTAATGGCCAGAGACAAAATTGTCTTTCCTCTCGCTTGAGAAACGATGTTGTCTTATTTATCCTTTCACTTAAAGTTTCGTTTTCACTTACTGCAAAGGTGAAATTCCCTTTTTTAGCCTTATATAAACTATAGCCTCCATGTGGGGCGAAAATATGCTCGGATGTTTGTCTGCAAACATTATCTGTTCCGAGAAGAGAACAGTTTTCCGAGAGCTTGGCTCGACGAAAACTGTGAGTTTTAGGGAACAGATAATGTCCAAGAACAAATATCTGAACAAATATTTTCATGCCAAATGGTGGCTATTGTGTTTATTATCCTTCAAATACTTGTTGCAACACGCGCAGTTTTGAAAATTGGCGAATATCACTCGGATATTCACAAGTTTTAGCTGGGGAATATTCAGTCACGTGCCTCGTTTAGACCAATCACGTGCGAATCTTTTTAATGGAATATAATGATTAATATTTTTCAGATCACTGTGACATGCCGCTTGGTCTCGAAGACGGCCGTGTTCCAGACCCCGTCATGACCGCCTCCTCTTACAACAACATTTACGACGCGCCGTGGAACGCTCGACTTAACAGAAGGCGCTACAGCCGTTTCGGAGGAGGTTGGTCTCCAAGAAGGAACGACAGAATCCGGTTTCTGCAGATAGACTTCCAAGCGATGACTAAGGCGACACGTGTCGCCACGCAGGGAATGCACAATGCTAATTACTGGGTAACGAAATATTACATCAAGTATGGAAAAAATAAAGGCAGAATGGTTCCTTACCGTGAGGGAAGATCAACAAAGGTACGGTTATCATTGGCACTATTAAGAGTCAGTTTTCAACCAGTAATAGTCTTGCTTTGACTGACACTACTGACTAGGATGTGCAAGATCAATAGGCCATTTTCGAGTTACCTTGTGCCTCTGTTTCAAAACGAATCTTCATGCAAAACCTTTCTTAAGAAAATAAGTTTGATTTGCATGATGTGAACCTGTATGCGGAACTCACTTTTATATGAATGGTTTCGAACGGGGACTCGTTTTAAACAGAGGCAAAAGGCAACTCGGAAATGGCTCATTGCTATCAGTTCTCATATCTTAACTCGAGGAAAGGCGAACGAGGCGAGTGCGATGTGCGACGAAGTGGGCTTTGGCGTAACTGGTGAAAGAACCAATGTCCTTCGCCCTTTTCGCACGAGGTTAATGATCTTTGAAAAAAAGAGCTATTAGTACGTTTGCCTTATTTAATTCAAATTATCCTTAAAATTGATATATTAGGGCAATTAAACGAAATCAACTTCAATCGGTTTATTGGTTGAAATGGTTGTTTTAAGTGGAAGAAATGTGAGATTTACGTATATGTACGAATCGTGCTTGCAGATATTCTCAGGAAATTACGACAGATATATTATCGTTCAGCACAAGTTTGTCAAACCTCTGTATGGAAGATACTTTAGAGTTTACCCTGTGGCCTGGTATTCCTGGATAGGCCTGAGAGTTGAATTCTACGGATGTGTCTATGGTAAGAATTTCATTCATAACCTGGTGTTGCCTTTACATTGAATCATTCACAGTACAGTATTGTAATCTCATAACACATCTCATAACATATCTCATAACACTGCCAGTGTTCTGGCTAGGTTTTGTTGCCCTTTTTGTATCGCACGTGATGTACCTGTATTTTATACCATGCCATAGAAAATACAGCCAATCAGAGTACAGGAAAGCCGTTGTATATTCGACGGTATTACATCCAACCTTCCCATCATGCGCCGCGCGTATGACGCACTGATTGTTTTGTCTACTATATTTCCTATGGCATGGTATAAAATAGTTATGCAATGCTCTCTGGTATACCATCGAACATTCTCCTGTCACTTTTATTGTTTTGGTATACAAGTGGCTTGTGGGATATGGTATACCACTTGAAAGCGTTGCATTAACTAGTATATATTTGAGAAAACACTATATTTTGAAGATACGAACCTATGTGAAGGGTGCTTAACTGGGAAATTTCAGCCTAACAGTTTCTAAAATCTTAGGTTCTTATACACGAGCTTTTACTGTACTTTAAGTGTATACTACTCTAACACTTCTTTAAAACGTAGGAAAACGTTGTAACCAGCCTCTTGGAATGCAAAACGGTCGAATAAAAGGACGGCAGTTATCAGCCTCCTCGAGCTGGGACGGAAATCACGGTCCATCCAATGCCAGACTTCACTGGCGACGGCGAGGACCGCGCATAGGAGCCTGGTCCGCGCGTCATAACACTCGTTACCAGTGGCTTCAGGTTGATTTTATCCACGCCATGCGAGTCGTGAAGATCGCTACTCAGGGACGACAAGACGCCGCACAATGGGTGACTCAGTATTATCTTACCTACAGTCAAGATGGAGCGCATTTCGCCGAGTTTAAAAAGAATAGCAATCGAAAAGTGAGTATTTGGCTCCTGTTCGTTTTAATGCATATGCAATCTTATCGCAAAAAAGTTGACTGCGTACCTGTTTTTATTAAAAAGGTCTGCAACGCATACATTTATCTGCACCTCATGGTAATATAGCACGTTAACCTGACATTTTTTTCATCTAGAAGACATTATCTGATTCCTCTTTGTATCGTATTTATCTTTGTGTTCGTCACAGTACCTTACAGGTAACAGAGACCAAAACAGCGTTGTACAGCACCGATTGTTCCCGCAGATCAAAGCCCGCTACATTCGTGTCTGTCCTTGGGGCTGGCACCGACACATTTCCATGAGGGTGGAGTTTTATGGTTGTTCTGCAGGTATGTATTTAAATCTTCATCTGAGAGATCGTTTTTGTGCCATCTTAAACTAAGGACTCATCCACCGTTTAGTATCTACCAAGTGATGGTTTTCATGATAGGGG